AAAGTTTTGGTGCAAACCACAGGTCAAAATGTTCATTTTTGACAAAATGGCGGCCGGTCAAAGTTCGAAATGGCGGAACTTCATTCATTTTTGACAAAATGGCGGAAATTTGGCATCTCCGTTGTTTATTGACGGATTGATGTGAGACTCGAAATCCTAGGGTTTTTCGAGATGAGAAAAACGATTCTGGCATCGGTTTTCCAGAAAAGTCAGTCCTTTTCAAAATGGCGACGGTCAAAATGGCGGCCTCGAGCGGGAAGTGGATATTTAGGCTACATATCGTTGGATTTGAATGAAACTTGGTATCTGGGAGTATTTCGGCACGAGAAGGACGAATCTTTCATTGGATATCTGAAATTTTGACAAATTCCAAAATGGCAGCGGAAAAATTGCGGGAAATCAGTTTTACGGCTCTTTACCGATGGATTAGCATGAAATTATTTTATATTTCAAGAATCTAATGAAAGATTCCTGTTTATCCAGGCAAAAACCGCCAGGATAGCGAATTTCATGCAAATCCATCGGTAAACAGCCGTAAAACTGATTTCCCGCAATTTTTCCGCTGCCATTTTGGAATTTGTAAAAATATCAGATATCCAATGAAAGATTCGTCCTTCTCGTGCCGAAATACCCCCACATACTAAGTTTCATGCAAATCCAACGATATGCAGTCTAAATATCCACTTCCCGCTCGAGGCCGCCATTTTGACCGTCGCCATTTTGAAAAGGACTGACTTTTCTGGAAAAGCGATGCCAGAATCGTTTTTCTCATCTCGAAAAACTCTGAGATTCCGAGTTTCACGCCAATCCGTCAATAAACAACGGAGATGCCAAATTTCCGCCATTTCGAACTTTGACCGGCCGCCATTTCGTCAAAAATGAACATTTTGACCTGTGGTTTGCGCCAAAAATTTTCTTTTTTTATTATCTTTCGAATAAGGTATCACAAAGGGGGGGTTGCCATTTGAAAAAAAAAAGTTAGCCCCCGCCCCCCCTTAAGGGAGGCCGCCCCTCAAAATTTTGGGGGGACCAAAAAGTTGCTACCTTAGACCGAAGAACATTCCCAAAGTTTCAAACTTCTATCCCAATTTGGAAAAAAAGTTACAGGGGTGGTCAGTGACTTTTGGATAACCCTGTATTAAAAAAAGGTTAAAATCCATAAGGAGGGTTGTCGATTTTGCATAAACCCCTTTCAATTTTTATTTGCATGACGGTGGCTGTGATAGGGCTCTATAAAAGGCAAAAAATTTCTCAAAATATCTTGCAATGCAAGCAAGACATAGCTACTCAAAATCGAAAAATCTCTGTAAGGGGGAAATACAGACATGTATATATACCATACATACCATACATATTATGCATACATACCATTCATATTTACGTACAGGCATTTATACGCTCATTCAGCCACCAAACAAGCTCACTCGTAAAGAACAAACCATATTAACCAGACTACGCATCGGTCACACTAATTTCTCTGACCTGTTTCCTCATCAAAAAAGTGGATCGGCCTCACTGTAATCCCTGCAGAACTGCACTTACAATCAAGCTCATTCTCTGCCGTTGCAGTCATTTTGAAAAGGACAGAGGAGGATACCTCAACCCAGATCTAAACCTCAAGTCACTCCTCTCCAATGAAGACAGTACCAAGAAAACCCTCAACTTCTTGAAGAACACATACCTTACAATTTTAACTGTAAATCAACAAATTATATACAAATTTCAAACACTCAAGTTTTTCCTGCTTAATACTATTCTAATTTTTGTCTCATATTACATATCTCAATATTACACTACTCCAGTTCTAAGGTGTGAATGGCCAAAGTTGTTAAGGCACCTTATCAAATAAATGTATTTTCAATCATTCAATCAATCAATCATATGTAAAAGCACCTATACATAAATATATGAAAAAGTTAAACACTAAGAAGCGGCCCAAAACTGTATATAACAAGGTGGAGAAATGGTGCTGGGTCCACACCATTTCGCGGGGAAACAAAGCCAAGAAATACAAAAATTAAAATTAGAGTCAAAAATAAATTTTTAGAACTCTAATGCGCACCAGTACGAAACTGAGGGGGGGAAAGTGTTCAGCTCAGGCAGTTTGCAATAGAATATTAAATTGGAATCACGCCTCTCTCGGCGTTTTATTTTTGACTCTAATTTTAATTTTTGGTATTTCTTGGCTTTGTTTCCCCGCGAAATGGTGTGGACCCAGCACCATTTCTCCACCTTGTTACATAAATATACAGTGTGTCCTAAAAGTCCGTAACCCCTCCCCCCCTGGTAACTTTTGAACGGTTAGAGATAGAAAAACGAACAGGAACCGGAAAACATTTCCGGCTATATCATGGGTTTCCCCAGGAAGGCAGCCTCTCGTCCCTCCCGGACTCTATTGTTGCCAGATAAGTTGCTTTTTTAACACTTTCCCCAATTCAAATCCATGTCACATATTCACATTCATCGCACAATCTGGCAACCTCTCGAGTGAAATAGAAAAAGGTAGAATCGCTGAAAGTCTGAATCCTTCGAAGTTTATTTTAATGAGATGATGATGTATGTTCTTGTTTTATACTGGGTGTCCCAAAAGTCCGTAACCCCCCCCCCTCCCCCTGGTAACTTTTGTCAGGATTTGTAAAAGAATGTTTAATTTGGACCATTGCGCAACTGAGTGTGCAACTGAGGCATCTTTGTGTGCATCAGCATATTTTTCTAGCGCTGGGGCAATCCGCTCCGCTCAGGCAGTTCAGTCGAGATATTCCGTAAGAATGTAGTCGGTCCACTCTCTAAATATTTTGTAATATCGGAATAAACATGTATGTGTGTGTAACGAAATCTAAGGTGATTAAATTTGATCGTTTATTTTTTATTTTTTTTTTAAAACTTTTTCCGAGGTTTGAGGACTTAAAAACGCAACGTTGAACCAATTTTAAACTTGTCGTTGTGACGTTGAGGCAAAGTTAGGAAAAATTCCCTCATTTCGCGGGAAATATCGTATGACCTTGGAACTGAGGCATTTGGGGGTTCGGACCCTCCCCCCCCCCCTTTAAATTATATTTGAGGTAATTTCTGTGATATTTACATAAAAGTGCTTACAATTTGCTACATTTTTCCGTTTTACTTTTTTCTCTACGATAATTTGAACCGAAGTTATGATTTTTTGAAAATAGGTCAAATTTGAGCTTTGACATATCATAACTCGGTCAAAAATTGAGATATTTACCTGCGGTTTGCGCCAAAATTCTTCATTTTTTACGTTCTTTCCAATGATGTATCGCAAGATAGGGGTTACCATTTGAAAAAAAAAAGTTGAGGGGCCCCCGTCCCTCGTGAGGGAGGGGCAAAAATTTGGACCCCCCCTAAATGATGGTCCCCTTTGAGATAGAAACATTCCCAAAGTTTCGTTTTTCTATCTGAACCCGTTTAGAAGTGGTTAGGAATTGAGGTCAGAGTGATAGGTGAAGATGATTTGCGACACATACATGTTTATTCCGATATTACAAAATATTTAGAGAGTGGACCGACTACATTCTTACGGAATATCTCGACTGAACTGCCTGAGCGGAGCGGATTGCCCCAGCGCTAGAAAAATATGCTGATGCACACAAAGATGCCTCAGTTGCACACTCAGTTGCGCAATGGTCCAAATTAAACATTCTTTTACAAATCCTGACAAAAGTTACCAGGGGGAGGGGGGGGGGTTACGGACTTTTGGGACACCCAGTATAAAACAAGAACATACATCATCATCTCATTAAAATAAACTTCGAAGGATTCAGACTTTCAGCGATTCTACCTTTTTCTATTTCACTCGAGAGGTTGCCAGATTGTGCGATGAATGTGAATATGTGACATGGATTTGAATTGGGGAAAGTGTTAAAAAAGCAACTTATCTGGCAACAATAGAGTCCGGGAGGGACGAGAGGCTGCCTTCCTGGGAAAACCCATGATTTAGCCGGAAATAACATAAAACAATTGATTCCGTTTGAAGCATCAATTGTATACTAAGGGAAAGCTATTTTAAAATAATAATTGTAAATGGACACAGATGCTACAGAAAGGGAAAAGGGAAAGGGAAAGGAAGTGAAATGAAATGAAATGAGGATATGATTACTAATACGCAATCAGAGAGAATAAAACAAAAACATCAGAGAAATTTATATGCGATGAAAGTATAAGAAAAAAACTCGAGTGGGCTCATTGTAATTCGGAACTCGAACTATACTATCATTGAGCAGTTTTTAGACCCCTACGCCACCGATAATCTTCTTAAGAGGTAAAGATGAACTTTTGCTACTTCAGCAAGTCAAATCGCGGGAGGAGATCCATGGACTGTCCACCTGATGGGATAACGTCCCAGTCAAATGCGTTTTTGAAGAAATGATCGATCCCCATCATCGCTTCATCTCCACACATCTATTCATGTGCGAATGATGGCATGCTCCGGCAACAAGGTTCTGTGATGAAATCATTTTTGCCTCCAGAGTCTCCAAAATGTATACATCTTAGTGATCAAATGTCCAATCACTGAGAAAAATGGCTTGGGGAGCGAGCCGAATGACACGCGCGTAACGAGTAATTGGGGATCCAGGAGGCGCAGCCGCAGCCCCTTGGCTGGCCGTGACGGACGCGCAAAGCGCGTCCAGAACGGCTAGTATATACATACAGTTAAAGCACCTATACATAAATGTATGAATCAACAACATCCATACACATGAATTTGAATGGTACATATTTTCATGATCTACGACCCGTGATCGGTGCTCTTCACACAGTCTCAGGTTTGGGTTTGACATCATAAGAGAATGAAAAAATACACTAAAGAAAGAAAAAAAAATAAAAATGCTGGCTCTACAACACCTATACTTAGAACAAAAGAGCACTTGATAAAAGTTGTAGAGGCTTGGGTATACTGGTCTAGCGTTCTAAAGAAGTCCAAAAGCCAATATAATTTTAGTAGTAGGGTAGTTACCATAAAAGACAATATTTGGGACTCTTACTTTTGCTTGTTCATAGAAGTTCAGATCTAAAGGAGTGACAACTCCAAAAGAGCCCTCGGCATGCTCATCAAATTTCCAAGGGCGATCAAGGGTTGCTCTCACTTTATATCGAATGAACCCATTTTCACCCTCAAATGACGAAGGGGCTGTGGTAGGAAGCGAAGCATTGAAAGGATAAGTATGCTCTCCACTAGAAATCTCCACCTCACCTGAAAAAACCAAAGAAAAGGAAGACGAAGGAATCAGACACCATACATGGATAACCCTCATCTCCATGACCACGTTGTTGTGTCAAAGATCAATAAATTCGGTTAGTTCCATAAGCAGGATAACCAGCAGAATTTCCCAAATTGGGGCTAATTTTCTTTCACTGACCATTGCATCAATCTTACAGTTTACAATATACATAAAGAAAATGACAGTTGGGAGATAAACGAAAATTAAATATTCAAATGCATGAAGTTTTGACGAAAATTGATATATTTCTTATCATTAAATTTAACAAATATTGCAGGGCATACTTAAGGGCTTCATTGATCTGCTTGGAGAACGATATTTTAAAACTTTCTAGCACATGGCGGGAGAAAAAGCTGGAAAAATATTATACATTTGGTTTTTATACAGGGTGTACCAAAAGTCCGTCCCACCCCTGCTAACTTTTGAACGAATTGAGCTAGGGTAATGAAATTTTGGGAATGTTCCTATCTCAAAGGGGACCATCTTTTGGGGGGCTCAAAATTTTGGTCCCCCCTCAGGGGGGGCGCGGGGGGCTCCCAACTATTTTTTTTCAAATGGCAACCCCTATCTTGCGATACCTCATTCGAAAGAGCATAAGAAAATTAAGAATTTTGGCGCAAACCGCAGATCAATATCTTAATTTTTGACCAAGTTATGATAGGTCAAAGGTCAAATTAGACCTATTTTCAAAAAATCATAACTCCGGTTCAAATTATCGTAGAGAAAAAAATAAAACGGGAAAATGTAGCAAATTGTAAGCACTTTTATGTAAATATCACAGAAATTACCTCAAATATAATTTTAAGGGGGGGGGAGGGTTCGAACCCACAAAAACGTCAATTCAAAGGTCATTCAATTTTCCCGCGAAATAAGCCAATTTCCCCTAGATTTGCCTCCTAATGATCTCAGTAAGGTCAGAATCAGTTCAACATTACGTTGGCAAGTCCCCAAATTTCGGGAAAAGTTAAAACAAACGAAATTTAAACGGTCAAATTTAATCACCTTAAATTTCCTTTGTTTTAACTTTTCCCGAAATTTGGGGACTTGCCAACGTAATGTTTAACTGATTCTGACCTTACTGAGATCATGTGGAGGCAAATCTAGGGGAAATTGGCTTATTTCGCGGGAAAATTGAATGACCTTTGAATTGACGTATTTGGGGGTGCGAGCCCCCCCCCCCCTTAAAATTAAATTGAAGTGATTTCTGCAATTTTTACTTAAAAGCGGACACAATTTCCCGTTTTATTTTTTTCTTTACGATAGTTTGAACCAGAGTTATGATTTTTTGAAAATAGGTCAAATTTGACCTTTGACCTATCATAACTCGGTCAAAAATTAAGATATTGATCTGCGGTTTTCGCCAAAATTCTTAGTTTTCTATGCTCTTCCGAATGAGGTATCGCAAGATAGGGGTTGCCATTTGAAAAAAAAGTTGAGGGCCCCCCGCGCCCCCCCTGAGGGGTGACCAAAATTTTGACCCCCTCCCCCAAAAAGATGGTCCCCTCTGAGATAGGAACATTCCCAAAGTTTCATCACCCTAGCTCAATTTGTTCAAAACTAAGCGGGGGTGGGACGGACTTTTGGTACACCCTGTAGATAGTCTCTGTGGCACCTAAATGAATCATTGAAATTACTGTTTTTCGGGATGAAATTGATCAGAAACATGTCAAAAAAACGTGTGTACTCGAGCTGAAAGATACTTTTCATAAAAGATTGACACCACAAAATTGTTAAGATAAAAAACTGAACCTGAAAATTACTCAAACTTTATACTCCACTGAAACTAATTTATTTTGATGCACAAAAATGTGCTTGAAAAATGTCCTTTCAGTTCGAGGAGCCACTGTTAGTGGATACTTTTTCCATGTCAAAGTGACATTGTAATAACCAAGGCACACTGACTCTCAATTTTTACAGACTGAAATATTTGCTGTACCTACATCATATATATCATAAAAATGTCACATCAAAAATTAGTACCATTCAACATAAGTTTACATAGTGACAAATGGGCCAACAGATGATCAATACATTTAGATTGATGTCACATTTGTCTATTCATTTCTTTCCACAGTTCCGACACCTCACCCAGACTCAAGCAAAAATTCAGCAATATTAATTTTACTCAATGCTGTCCGATCCTGAATTTCACTTGTTACTTAAAAGAAAGAAAGGTTCCTAGGTACTTACCACTGCCACCCAAGATGTTATAATGATACTCAAAGAACATTTCCTCCCCGGTGACATCATCCATGAAATTTCTGGACTCTCCATTGGGCTGAGTTTCTGTTTTCTCATGTTGAAATCTAGTTTCTGCTTTTCCAATAAAGCTAACCTTCAGTGCTAGACAAAAATATAAAATTATAAATAAAAGATCTCAAAGCATGTTGAAAGAGAACGTTTTCAATAAGAACATCTTAATATCTGGAATGATGTACTTAATTACTCAATATAATGAAGAGGTGCCGATAAGGTCCACTTTAATACCTTGAAATTTTGGACAGAACTCAAGTTGGCAATTAACACAAGGTACTATTATTCTGTATTATCAGGCAAGTGTTATTTGAACAGGATTTCATCTGTGACAGAAAACAAACTGAGTTTGCACAATTTGGAAAGTAGAACCAAAAAACGAGGATGGGGCAAGGACAGAGCTGGATTAAGGTTTTAGCCGCCTTCTTCCCCTCCTAGGTAGGTATACCATGCAATATCTTATAGAAACATGCGATAAGCACAAAATATAAGTTTCAGAATCACGGCAATAGCTTAATCTGCTTAATCCAATTCTGCAATGGCTAGAAGGATGCACATTTGTGCAGAAAAGTGTTGCAAACAAATATTTTAGGAGGGGAAAATAATTCTTCAAGGAAAGAGGATTTGTGACACAAAAATGGCAAAAATGAAGCCTAAAATGAGAAACGCTTAATGAAAACTAGATAAAAAATTAAATAATACGTCGATGATAAAGTAAGAAACCACCTATCTGCATTGTGGTGTTTCAGAATTGCCGCGTCCATTTTATTTTATCAAAGAGAAACAAGCCTACTTTATAGCTTAAAGTTAGCTAGGATTCAGCCATCTATCTACGGACCACTTACTTACGCTGTCTGGCATCCAAGGTGGCGGTCGAGATTTCTGAAAAGTCATGGGGTCTCCAGGATCTACTGCGCGAGGATTGCTACACAGAGTGAAGTTTTTGCTTTTCTTTGAGGAAAGATTTTGCGACAGCAAATTCGTCCTTCAACAATTTAAATATTTTTTATCCCTTACATTGGTCTGACGAGGATAAAGTTGCTAGAGGGGCCGGCCCTCATGGAGCATGTGCAAATGCTGTGTAATTTAGCGTAGCGAGTCGAAAAATAAATTCTCATGTAGAGGGCAAATTTGTCACCTTGAAGTTGCCCATAATTTTCAGAGAGAATTGAGGTGACTCACCCGTAGATAGAATATTTCAAAGTGGAAGCCAGTAACACACTGCTGCATGCCATGCAGGTTAACCCAACTTTCATCCTCTTCAAATCCTTTCAATAGTTCCTCCCTCATTTTTTTCTCTCACAAATAATTACAGGGCACTCACTACCTTAGTAATTGGCAATGCCTACAATACCCCAAAACCCCTTCCTCTTTTATCCTATGTCTCTCCCAAGTCTATCCTCTTCTAAAGAAAAAAGAAGGAAAAAAATCCAAAATTTGCTGCCCCCCCCCCTCAATATTTGCCGCTTGGTACCATGACACCCTTGGCTCTTCCCTAAATCCGGCTATGGGCGAGATGTCATAATTTGACACTCACAGTTGCCTTTGATGTTTAAGCAGTTGATGAATTGCTTGATCAGGAAATTCAGGTTTCAACTACTGATCAATTAACAGGTGGACTTCTGACCATTCATCCCAAATAAATGTACAGAAATAATACCTTATTTAACTGTTCCCAATGCATGAATGAATAAATCCGAGCAATGCAGTTAAATATCAACTATATCTTTCTGATTTTGGCATGAAAAGGACCCCTCACACCTCTTATGGGAAGCTGCACCATGACCGATCGCCTTCTGACTTATGTCATTCGATTCTCCTCAAGATGCTGATCAAAAGTTATAATTGCGCCAACTTTCTACGATGCACCATTTTCGTAAAAAATCAAAGAGAAGCTTCAATTATTCGGTGATAAAAAGCCAGAAAGATTCCTCATTTCAGGGCTCGATTGACAAGCGGCTGTGTGTCAACAAGGAAATCATGGGGACTCCGGCACCAAGCGGCAGTCTTATCTCGGATTCCACACGCCGTTTTGCTCGACCATCCAAATCAGATTCTTGAGGAGCATAAGAACAGGAAAGTCTGAACGTCTACCGGGCGAGTGCAGAAGGGGACAGCCCCTGAGTCGGAAGGTACAGATAGGAGGACAGACACACGCTACGGTTTTTCCTGATTTACATCGGGCCTGTCCTCAAATGCTTTGTTCTTTTTTATTCATATTCGCCGAATAATTGAATCTTCTTTTTGATTCTTTGCGAAAACGGTGCGTCGTAGAAAGTTGGCACAATTATCACTTTTGGTCAGTATCTTGAGGAGAATCGAATGACATAAGTAGAAAGGCAATCGGTCATGGTGCTGCTTCCCATAAGAGGTGAGCAGGGTCCTTTGTGAGCTTGTACTGTGAACTGTGTGTTGAATGTTTAATTGAAGTAGGTACGTAACTGTTCTCCCAGAAATCCGGCGTGAGTCAGGCCCACCCTTCTTTTCCACCTCCTCTCTCATACACAAATGATAATGATACCCCTCCAAATTCAATTTGCGTAAGTATGACTTACATGGAATTCCTAATGGTGAAGAATGCGAGTAAAGGAGCAATAGTTACGTGAGATCACGCGAGATTGAAGTACATACCCCTGACTTTCTTCGACTTATTCAAGCTCAAAACTATTTTTCCAGACACTGCTTGCCCTGCATAGTAGGCACTAGTCGGGCTATCAAAAACTACTTTGAATGATTCTAGCCCCATTGATACGAGAAAACACCGCACTACTTACGTCTACCTGAATAAAGACTAGAGGATTACAAAAATAAAAAAATCTCCAAGCGACCAATAATAATAGACCGTATTCGATAACGGTTCGATGTATCGTTTGGTTCAAAACAATAGAACATAACCTCAAACCAATCTGTAAGGATTTTAATTGGAAAAGCTGAAAATGAGAAATTTCCTGACAATTTCACTTTGCATTGGCATTTGGTACTCAAAAGAATAAAAAATCTGTTTCAAAAGATCCGTTCTCTCAGATTTCTGAATTTACTTTTGAGGCTATGTTTATGTTTTGAACCAATCGATATCGATACAATCTCACCCGTTTGATGTATCGAATACGATCTATACGATGTTTACTTTTTGCAGGCAAAGACCCCCTCGGAATGAGCAGGCAAGATGGCTGCGTGGCGCGCGCGACGGGAACTCAGAGCAGTTCATAGAGTACAATAGAGTCGCAAAGTACTGGATCGCCTTTGAAGTCACTTTTCGAGGCTGTTCTGTCCAGTTCTCCGGAGACTAGTGTGCGGCGACTAGCGACGACGCATACGCAGAGACTCGCGTTCAGCGCTCCCCACCTCCCCACTCCCGACTCGGCTCCGTTCGTCGGCTAGGTCCACACACATTGAACCAGCCAAGTAGGTAGGCCGGTAATAAGTCTGAAATTGAGTCCATATATGAATATTATCCAGGAGTAACATACATTAATGGATTCATTATGGCTTTGGATATCTATTTAAAGCAAAATTTGTACAAAATAATACCGATGGAATTTAAAAAAGTCGAAAAAATACAAGCAGTCCTTGATTTCTCCATAAGCCACCGTGTTAAAAAATTCCGGTTGGTTCACACTTGGTATAGAGTCCCTTTATACCCAGAGTTAAGACAACTCACTTTTGGTTCGGCTGAAAGTGGCCTAAAAAAAAATCCAATTCCGATTGGTTCTCGCTCATGGAGGCCGAAACGAGTGGACCAAGATGGCGGTACCTCGAATGTGAACAAGAATAATAAAAATATCACCTAATTGTGGTTCATCAAGAGTAAATTGTCATTTCCATCGGTCCAAAATGAAAAGAGATTAAGAAATTACTCACAAACCAATCTCATTTTCTTTTAAATTGATCAATTTGTTGATGTTGTTGTTTTTGTGTGACAGACATCGCAGGATTCCTGATCCTTACCCCTCAATATCGTTCGTTTGGGTGCACTCGTTTCGGCCTCCATGGCCAGCCAAGGCCGGCTGCCAGTCAGCTGATAATCGAGTTGTCTTAACACTGGGTATAAAGGGACTCTAACTTGGTATAAGTCAGAAATTAAATCCCTGTATGAATATTATCCAGGAGTAATATACATCAATGGATTCATTATGGCTTTGACTATCTAATTATAGCAAAATTTGCACAAATTAATGCTGATTGAATCATAAAATACCTAAAAAACACAAGCAATTCTTGATTTCTCCATAAGCCGCCGTGTTACAAAATGCTAGAGTCCCTTTATACCCAGAGTTACAACAACTCGATTATCAGCTGACTGGCAGCCGTCCTTGGCTGGCCATGGAGGCCGAAACGAGTGCACCCGAACAAACGATATTGAGGGACAAGGATCAGGAATCCTGCGATGTCTGTCACACTAAAACAACAACATCAACAAAGTGATCAATTAAAAAGAAAATGAGATTGGTTTGTGAATAATTTCTTAATCTATTTTCATTTTGGACCGATGGAAATAACAATTTACTCTTGATAAACCACAATTAGGTAATATTTCCATTATTCTTGTTCACATTCGAGGTACCGCCATCTTGGTGCACTCGTTTCGGCCTCCATGAGCGAGAACCAATCAGAATTGGATTTTTTTTTAGGCCACTTTCAGGCCAATCCTGGCCCAACCAAAAGTGAGTTGTCGTAACTCTGGGTTCACAAATGGTTCACAATTTTCGGAGCACACGCGGCTCGGAAACGCCTGTTAATGGATTGGCTTCATCGGCGCTCCAGTACTTTGCGACTCTATTGTACTCTATGGAGCAGTTCGAGCACTCTCTAACCAATACCTACTCTAACCTAGAGTACCTTTATAGACAGAGTATGGCCATTCGTATCTTTTTACTACAGGAAAACTGTTCCGCTTTTTGATTGGTCAACGAGTTTTTAGGCTTCATGATGCTCTTAGGGCCGTAAATAAACAAAGAAGATGGCGGCTCACCGTAACATCGATGAGAAGCTAAATTTGACAAAAATTTCAATTATGCGGCAGTAACAATTTAAACGAGCATATCTACGAATAGCACACGAAAAACACATGAAAACATTGTTAAATTGCCTTTCACCTTTATCACAGGAGGACAGAGATGGAAAGTGAAATTTCACAAGGCCCGAATAAATTTCAAAAAAATTGAAATTTGTTGATTTTTCAAAGAAATATTGTTACTAAGCCTCGGAAACGGTTCAGATGATCCTCCTGCTGATGCAGCAGAATATGGCCCACTAATGAGATGCTACACCCAAAGGAGGGGGCACAAGGGGGGTTTTAGAGAAAGTTAGCCCTAACCTAACCTCCAAACCAAATGTAAACAGACATGTACCCAGCAAATCGCGTGGCCGTGGACAAGATTATAAGAACATCACACCCTTTTAGAAACGTTTTACTTCAGTACTTTTATGTTTACAAATAAAATTAAAGTTACTTACGTTTGGAATTACTTGATAAAATTCAAGATGATTGAAAACAATCCATTTTTGAAACTGAGATTTCCGACTCTAAAATATATATGTTGGCAGTTTGGCACTGCTGAGAATAATCTTTATAGTATAATTGTTAAATATGTAGGACATTAAGTTGGTTCAGAAATATACCACTAAAAGTGCCGTTTTTTAGCATTACAATTTTTAGCATCAATTTCTCCAACGTTTCTCAAATAAAAGTCCCCCCCCCCTCATAAAAAAACTAGTATTTTCATGCCGATGCGTGGAGGAAATTGTTCTTGTGGTGGAGCGGAGGCACTCAAGTGTCAATGATGCATTACTTACGAAAATTAAGGACCCATGACTTACATAAGTGACATCTGACATGACACCGAAATCTTCGTGATAAAAAACTGAGCTGCTGGAAGAGTGGGTGGTGAGGTTAGGTTAGGTCAGGGGGGGCTGAAAAATCTCAATATCGAGAATCACCGTTTCTAGGCGTTTCTTGGCCTCTTGAATGTATCCTCAAAAGTTTCAATAAATTTCATGAAATTTCGTGAAATTTCATGAAATTTCATGAAATTTCACGCGTGAAATTTCACTCGAATAAATTTCATGAAATTTTCCATCTCTGCAGGAGGATGTAAGATGTGCATAACCTCAATCTTGCTTGCTGGTAACGGCCATCTTGTTTGTTTATTTACGGCCCTAAGAGCATCGTGTCAGCCTATTCGCTCGCGACCAATGAAAAACCGGAACAGAAATGGCCATACTCTGTCTATAAAGGTACTCTACTCTAACCCCAAGGTACACTCTACTAGAGTCCCTTTATACTGAGAGTCAAGACAACACCCCTCATGGAGTCACAAACGGGAATAAAGATTACAGAAATTGAACGTTTTTCGTAATCTTTGATCGACCCATTCTCGAATTCCTTTTTTCGTTCCTTCCCTCATTCCGTTTGTTCCTTGTCGAACCCGAAATTCCTCGGTCCATTCCAGATTATAATCTTTGCAATTGGTGAAAATTAGAGTACCTGTATAGGGAGAGTAGCGACAGATCGGTTCATGGAGGGCTTAGGGCCCAAAAGTGCAGCCACCCTTCTGAGCAACTTCTAACACACAAAATTTCACTGCCAGCCTACAGATTTCAATTCTAACCAAGATGGCTAAGAATGTATATAAATGAGCGTTCTTTCGCAAAAATAAGTAAATTTATGCAAAAAGTAAACCAAATACATGCTTCCTAAACGACGGTTCGTAACAATTGTATTTGTAAATCGCTCTGGACATTCGAAATTCATAGGTTGGCTGCCCTTTTGGGCCCTGCCCTAACTTTATTCGCGGAGGCATCGGTGAAGGCCTGATGGACTTTCGGAGTTTCAGATCTGTCGCTACTCTCCCTATACAGGTACTCTAGTGAAAATGTAATCTTTATTCCCGTTTGTGACACTGTGAAGGCCTAAAATCCGGTTAACCAATCAGAAATGGATTCGCATTGTCTTGACTCTCAGTATAAAGGGACTCTACACTCTACTACAGGTATGGACAAACGGGGTGCCGAAGTGGCAGCGCTGAGAAAATCGGCGATTGAGTGACGTATGAAGTCGTACCGTCCATTTGCCGCGTATGTCTTCGCAGTCGTACTCTCGATGCTGTCAAATCTACGCGTTTTGACGACTTTCTAAAATTCCATTTGTCCATACCTGTAGTAGAGTGTACCTTGCTCTAACCCATCCTAACGTCCGCATTCATTTACATATCAATTTATTGATACTATCATATTTCCGATGTAAGTGTTATCTTTGTAGGTAATGTTATTTATTTACACTCCCACATTTCACCTCTTGATGCCTGATTGGTAAATTTTACCACTTTCTGGATTGTTATGTACTTTTGAAGGTTTAAGTTATCAAAAGCAGAAATGTGCACAGATATTTTTTTAGCAAATTTTTCAAGAAATGTGCTAATTAAGTGCCTCGTATTTACCTTTAACAGAAAGTTTCCAGGAGTTGTACCATTTAGCTTGATGGTTCATCTTTACATGGAAATGTTTTTGGTACAATTATAATTTCCACAATGAAAGTCTGGCAACACAGCTAACTTAGCAAAATCCCTCATATTTCTTAGGAATTGAGTCAGAGGTGAGGGTAAGATTTATCCCCCCCCCTCCCCCCAACTAGTTCCTCCAATGCGCACAGAATTTACTAAGCAACATAAAAGCAGAGGGAAAGGTACAGGTATAATTAATAAATAGGTATTTCACTACATGCATGGATGATCATTAAGTACCTTAGCAAAAGCCCTCATATATCTTAGGAAGTCAGGAGAGGGTAATATTTCTCTCCCCCCCCCCATCCTCCTCTCAACTAGTTCCCCC